CGACTTCAGCTCAGGTCATGATCTCGCGGTTCGTGGGTTCGAGCCCCGTGTCGGGCTCTGTGCCGACAGCTCAGAGCCTGGAGCCTGCTTCGGGTTCTGCGTCTCCCTCTCTCCCTGCCCCTCCCCCGCTTGTGCTCTGTCTCTCTCCGTCTCTCAACAATGAATAAATGTAAAAAAAAAATTTTTTAAAGAAATAAAACAATATTTGGCATATACGACGAAGTGCTAAGTATTAGCTATTATCATTATCATTATTATTATTACTAATGCTAATTTCAGGTACAGTGTCAATGCAGGTCTTGTAAATCCTCTGAAGCTGTCTTATTCAACCTGTCCTCATGTTAAGGTCCACCTGCGTACCTAAAATGTAACTGACGGATGTGCCCAAGTGCAAAGAATAGTCTGATTCACTGTTTAAGAAAGAATGAAATTAATTGTCCAACACTTTGAAAGGAAAACTAATTACATCATCAAAGTCTTGTTTATTATGTTGCCAAAGGGTGAAAGACAATGGAATGTGTAAGAAAGCATTGGATGAGTTGGAGACGATAAGGCTACCTTCTAAGGGAATGGTAATGATTTTTGAGCTCATGGGTTTTTGATTCCATGAGTGTTTTCTCTAAATTACCCTCTGTCGCTGTTACTTAGAGGCTGGACCAGGCGTTCTGTTTAACTGCCTTTCTGGCTGCGTGTCAGTCTCTGTCCCCTCCAGGGCCCTGCCTTACCTCTTCGCTATATTTGCTGACGTAGGAGTAGATCTCATTGAGGGCACTCAACATGTTGAACTCCACAGCATGCAGACGGGACTGCTCAGCGAGGTAGGCGTTCATGTCCTGGTCACTGATGGCGGGGAGCTTGGCAATGTCTGCATAGTATCTGCCATAGAGAGGACAGACTCCGTAACGGGGACCTGGCACACATTTGCCTACACTACTCCGACCTCGGGCCCCTCGAGAGCACTGGATGTCCCCAGTTACTCCTGCCTCCAATGTCTCTTTCGATGTGTTTTCCTCTGGCCTCTTGCCTCAAGCTAAGGGCGAGGCCTGGAGACTGTTGCTCAGGAGTCCAGACTCCATCTAGCTCCGAGCTCCCACTAGAGTGTCCCCTCCCCCACCCAGAATGCACAAAAGCCCAGACTCTGACCAGACTCCAACCAGACTCCTTGTATTCCAATCCCAGCTCTACTACCTGCTAGCTGGGTGACCTTGGGCAAGTTACTAAGCCTCTCTGTACCTCAATTTCCTCATTAGTCAAATGGCGATGACAACAATACTTACTTTGCCACTCTGTTGGATATTATAATGAGAGGACGCATAAAAAATCTTTATCACAGGAATGGTTGCTTAGCATGTGCTCAATAACAGGTAATCAGAACGATAATGGTCTGAGCTCCAAGGGCACAGGGCTTCTCCTCCTTCCTCTACCAGAAAGCTTGGACAGGCGGAAGGAGGGGAACCTGAGATCCGAAGGTACCTCAAACACGGTTGTGAGTCCTCAGTGAAGCCCACAGCATGGGGAATGGAGCAGACAGGCAGGGGTGTGGGCCTGTCCCAGGGAAGCTACTGACCTCTCCACCCAGCTCTTGTAGCTGGGGATGTCCTTGGCATAGAGCAGCTTGTTGGAGGGGGAGTCCTTGCCCAGCCGGTGCTCTGACGTGGAGCAGGAGTCCATGAAAGTCTGGGCCACCACGGACAGGCAGGCGTCCGTGATGCTGCCCTTGTGGATGTCGAATACAAACTGGGGGTTCTTGATCACGTTCACCCAGAAGCGCAGAGGGAGGCTGTGGGTAAAGGCAGAAGGGACCCTGAGGGCCGAGCCTCCGCCGCGCCCCTGGTGTCGTCCACTAACACTCCTCTCCTCCTTCTACAAGTGAAACCTCTCTCTCCCAAGGGCAAGGGAATGTAATCACAGAGGACTGGGCCAGCCAGGGCTGCTAATTTAGCCTGATTCTTGACCCTGGGAGAAGCGGAGAGGCGCCATCGTACCCTAACAGGGGGGCCGACCCTGATCCCTACCGAGAGGTAGATAGACGGAGGTGGGTTCTGTTCCCTCCTGGCAGCCTTTGCCAAAGGCTCCCAGGCCCCCAGGGAAGCCTAAGTACAGAGAACTGCACGGTTTTCTCAGAGCTTCGAACAAAGCCCCCAGACTCCTGGAGTCCCTTTACACAGTGCCATGGCCGTTATCCGGAAGGACGCAGCCAGCAGCCCCAGGCGCTGCCTCGGAGCCCCACAAAGGGCGCCACCTGCGCTCCCGCCCAGCCTGGCCCCCTGCGCCACTTCCCAGGGCAGGCCAGGCCCGGTGGGTGGGGCGGAGGAGTGGGCCCCCCAGGGGGCGCCTCTTTCAGGGCTCTCCCCGGGGCTCTCCTCTATCTGGGCAGGGGCAGAGGGAGGAGAGGAGGCCATTGTGGGCATGCTGGGAACGACTCAGTGTAGCTCAGCGTTTTCCCACCCCAAGAGGAACTGATCAGTCGTTAGCAGTGCTCCTTCTGCGGCTTGGGAAGTTACAGTCAGAGGGGAATGAGTTTTCTCTGCTCCTGAGGCCATAAGGGGGACAAGCCCATTTATTCCCCTTCAAAATCAGAACAGCTGCTGTTTCTGTGCCTTTTCCAGCTTCGTCTTCTCTTCCAGCTGCCCGCAGGGCCTTAACTCCCGGGCTCCTGCGTGAGTGAGCTTTGTTCCCGGGCTTGTCCTTCTGGCCTGAGATGGCGGTCCAGAAATCCAGCCTACCTTTCTTCTCTCCTTCATCTTCTCTTGACCCTCCAGTGCCCCAGTCTTTCCCAAACACCTCAGTCATGCCAAGTCTTGGGAAGGGCAACTTTGCCCACTGCAAACACTTCCATTACGATTTCTGCTTATCTTCCAAAGGGCGACAGGATCAGACCCTGTCCTGTAGCCAGGAGAAGCTGCCTCAGCTGAGAGGTGACTCATCTGTTCCACTCTCCCCTCCTCTGGCAGCTCTGGGGAGCATCTAATATTCTTTCCTCGGACATTAGCTGTTTGAGGTCTGGAGAAGGGACTCTTTCTGCCACAACCCCAGGGCAGGGCATTTCCATGACGGGGGCCCGTTTGGCAACAGAAGGCAGAGAGACGGGCATAATCCAGAACTTTCTCTTCATTTCCCTGAAACCGCAGCACTGGGCTGGGGAGTCTTCCAAAGCAAAGGAGACAGGCAGGGCTCTGCCCCCGGGAATCCAGACGAAAGGCCTGCCCTGCTGAGGCGCGCCGTGGGCTTCTCCCCCGCGACCACCGGCCACCGGAATCTCCCCATTTCACTATCCTGTGATCAAAGCTGTGGGCTCCAGAGGGCCAGCAACCACAGCATCTCGGAGAAGAAAGGATTATATGGGATGGGGGTTGGTTTTTCCCAAAGTGTTTTGCCGGTTGCTAGGATTTTTGATTCCCAAATAACAGCCGGGGCCCATCTGTGTCGGCTCTGTTTTCTGAGGAGATCGCTGACTCCAGACAGCTGTGCGGGCTGCCTGCCCAACCCACATGCCTGGACCTCCGCTCTCCCCTCTCTGTGCTCTTTCCTGGAGCACAGGAAGGTTTTTGAGTCCGGCTCTTGGCCAGGCCCCGTCTGACCTGAGAGCCAGTCCTTAGCTTGGCTGGCGATGCGGGTCTAAAACCGAGGAGAGAAAAGTCCTTTGCCAGGGGCCTGCGGGAGCTGCTTGTCCCACCGCGGTCTGGCTGCCGAGGTTACCTTAGGGAAGAGTCACGCCTGTAGGACATCCTGCCCGCTGCTTCCTGAAAGCCATGGCGCCGGGGTAATAACTTGGCCTTAAGGGATCAAGTTTGCAACGACATCCTCCCGGTTGGTGGGCTCAAATCTATAGCAGGTGCAAGCTCTCTCCCCGGGGTCTATGTTCAGTTCAGGGCTTCCCCGTCTTCAGGAAGGGCCGTGGGTTCTGCCCCCCCTCAGAATGCCTGACGCTGACTGGCTCTGTAGCTGTGCAGCTCGGTCCAAAGGTGGCTCCTTATGTAGGTTCCTCCAGCATCCTTTCTTGAGAACCAGAGGTCTCAGGGTCAGGGAGGAAGTGCTCCCTGGGAAAGGATCTCCACCTGAAAGGGCAGAGCTCAAGCACGCGTCCTGGTGCCGGGCCCTAAGCCAGGCGGGCCCCACTGGGCGCTGGCAGCCCGGGGACCGTGTTGGGGATGCAGAGCATATGTGCGCTATTTGTTCTAGGAACCTCAGAGTACCCGGCCCCGCGAGGAACGGGCTCCCCGCATCTCCCGGGT